GTATCTAAGTATGTCATTTTCATGTTCATATTTTTTACATGATGCACATTCTATTTGTTTATTTCCTTTTTCTTCTAAAGTCACTATTTTTTATTTTAAAGCTTCTACTTCTTTTTTCGATTTATTCAAAAAAATTTTCAAAGGTTTATATTCAGTTTTCAAATCTTTAAAAGCAGCAAATAGTTCTTGATATGCATTATGTAAAGCATCATAGTCATTTTCATAATCACTTGAAGAATAGTTGGAATCACTTACCTCACAATTAGAAGAAATACTATCATTTGTCATTAAGCAAAGATTTGCTTCAACCTTCGAATTGCTTGACTCCGAATTTGAGTCACTATCATCCCAAGCTATGTAGGTTTTCTTTTTAAAGAATTTCTTTCCTTTATGATCATCACTCTTCTTGTTAAGACACTCAGATTTCACATGCCCTGTTTCACCACAACCATAAATTTAAAGTTTAATGAAGATACTTCTTTCTCATTCTTCTTACCTTTGAATGATTGTCTTCCTTTGGATTTCATGAATTTGGTGAACTTTTTAATCATGAGGCTCAAGTTTTCATCCTCTTCACTATCGGAACTTTCTTCTTCCTTCTCTTTCTTGTTTTTAGAAACTTCAGTTTTGAAAGCTAGGTTTCCCTTTTGATGTTGGTCTTCTTCATCGTTTAGCCTTCCAAGTTCAAGTTCATGCACTCTTAACTTTCCAAAGAGAACCTTAAGTAGAGAGATTTAGGGTCTGGGAATAGAAGTTTTTGAAAATAGAAGTATTGGAAATAAGTGTTTCAAAAATTGGTCAAGAATTCGAAATTCAAAATCATAACAGACGTAGATAATTGATTATCTTAAGTGATAATCGATTATCACAGAACCATTTTCGCAGAGAAATAAATTGGACCAGGATAATCGATTATGCTCTGAGATAATCGATTATTTCAGTTGGGATAATCGATTATCAACCGAGATAATCGATTATTCTAGCAAGTTTCTAAAAAAAAAGGTTTCAATGCATGATAATAGATTATCCTGAGTGATAATCGATTATCACAAAGTAGATTTGATAAAAATGAACTTTCAGAGGAAGAACTATGTGTTGTCTATCTTGGACTCTAATTTTACAAACTCAAAAAGATAAAATAGAGTTATTATAAGTAAATACAAATGATTATAAGTCTTCAAGACTTCAAGTCTTTTGTTCTTGAATCATCATCAAAATATTCAAGCATCATATCCTTGTATGTTCAATAATTACTTCATTAGAAAACTAATAAGTGATGGTACTTTATTTTTGGAGAAGATCCTTAAGTCAGAGAATCCTACATATATGTTTATCAAGGTGGTTACTACTGAGAAGTTGAAGTTTTGCATAACTTTAACTGGCCTTCATGGTTAATTGTTGAGAAGGCATTGCACTAATTTGAGGTTGTTATAACTTTGATGTTTACTAGATTTACTTTAGAGTGTGCTTGATGTGATCAGCCTCCAAGTGGGAGATTGTTAAGTATGTGGAGTCTGAAGGATTATTGGGTTTGACCTATTTACTTATTCTTTTATTATAAATACTTATGTAATTGCAAATTTAATTGTGTGAATGAGAACTATCATCTAGTGTAGTCGTGGACGTATGTCACTTTGACTGAACCACATAAATTCCTTGTGTTCTTGTTATTTACTTTCGTCTAGTATTATATTTGTATTCCCAACAGTTTCATCCTGATATAATTTGACGAGGGACTCTCAAATCTCCTTCGTTGTACCCTTCTCCACAAATTTGCTATAACATTGTTATTAATTTCTTCCCATATTCGATCTATGATGCCCATTGTCTTTTTCCAATTGCTTCTACACAATTGTTTTTTTTTTCAAAATTATCTTCATTTTCAGTTTTCACAGTGAAAATTTATTCCTATTAAGCTTCTATATCTCATATTTTGTTATCATGAGTTTAACCTACTTATGCATCTTTCATTATTCATACTAGAACAGTGTAAACTATAACTAGTACACCAAGTAAGCTCACAGGAAAGAGAGATGAGTCACTAATAGACATACTTAAATACCAAGTCTTTCCTTACTAGAACTTTTCCTAGATATGCACTGTACACTACTACATTTTATATCTAGTAACTAGAATAACTCTTTTTTGATGTGGAAGATCAGATTAACTGCAACCAAAGAGCATACTAAGAATTTTCTCTAACACTATTCTAATGACTATAACAGCGGAATAATATCATAAATAAGAAACCAATCATCGACTCTCATACCACTATTAGAAATCAGAGTAACTGCATAAGAACTCACAACTAAAATAAAAGATGAGAAAAGAGAAACAAAACTAACAATAGACAATAATAGAATTTTCCTACTAGAAGAAATTACAATATCCTCTTTAAATCTAAGGAGAAAATAACAATAATATTTTCTCTCAAAAATAAGAGAACTCAAATATTATGCAATGTACTAATACAAAGGAGAAGGAAGAAATTTGGGGTGATTTACAAAGTAAACATTGTGCTCCTTTTATAACAAGAAAAGTAAGCACCAATATATAATTTTCCTTATGTGAGACTCTCTTCTCACATTAGGCTCGTCAACCAGTCTTTAGTTTCAAAGGCCAAAATAAAATAGTTGTTTTCCTGATGTGAGACTTCTCTTCTCACATTCTCACATTAGGCTCGTCACCCAGTCTTTAGTTTCAAAGGCCAGAATAAAATAGTTGTCACTTTTTGTTGGATCTTTGGAGGGACATTCACCTAGGAGAGACAATACCAATGAGATGTGAACCCAACTCACATAAGGGATTGATATCACTCTCAACCCAAAACCTTAAGGCATTGGATTATGGGTCTTTCTTCCATATATGTTGCTCAACTTTCTTATTCTTACACAATGTGGGACTTAAACTCACTTGTATTACCCAACAATTCCCCCCTTAAGTGTGAGTCCTCCACATTGATACATCTCCTTGAGATCTAACGGGACACGCTTACCTGACTCACTCTGTCAGGAAGACTTTCGATACAAAGACTATTTTGACCCACTTCCGATCAATCTTCGGCTATGATACCACTTGTTGGGTCTTTGAAGGGGGATTCACTTGTGAGAGACAACATTAATGAGATGTGAGTCTAACTCACATAAGGGATTGACATCACTCTCAACCCAAAACCTTAAGGCATTGGGTTAAGAGTCTTTCTTCCTTATTTGTTGTTCAACTTTCTCATTTTTATACAATGTGAGACTTAAACTCACACTTGTATTACCCCAACAGAAATACATATTGCAATTGGTTTATTATGATGTGTTGGAATCGCCGGTATTATCCTAGGAGGGGCCAAATATTTTGTATCAGTGATAATTACTCCAGGAGATTATGGGTGTACCGCATCAAGGGGAAGTCTATGTTTGCAAAGCTTGGGAAAGACAAATTCTTGGATTATGTTAACAATGTAAAGGGATATTTCTTGTGGATCCCACTATCGACAAGGTTATTGTTAGTATTGATACAAATATTATTTTTCTTCAAGATGAACTTAGAGAAATGATTGGTGTGCTCTAAACAAAAGACAAGAAAAAAAAACTTGACTTGTAGGTTGTCTAAATCTCTATACAGTTTAAACCGAGTGTCCAAGTGTTAGTACAAGAGATTTGATTCTTCATTATTAGTCTTGGTTACAACATACTGAGTTCAGACCATTGTAGTTATTATAATAGGTTTGGTAATAATGATTTTATTATCTTTTCGTTATATGTGGATGACATGTTAGTGGTAAGATCCAACAAAGTTCGAATCCAGGTTTTGAAGACACAATTGGCTAGGAAGTTTGATATGAAGAACTAGGGACCAACAAACAAGATTTTAGGGATGCAAATTCACCGAAACATAAAAGATAAGAATGTTTGAGTTTATCTGAAGAATTACTTACAAAAGGTCTTGTAGTGCTTCAACATGCAATGGTGTAAGCTACTTTCTATCCCATTTTCTATCAAGTTATCCTCACGTGTCAGTCCTAGCAATAAAAGTATGGATGATGAAAATGTCTCAAATATTGTATGCATCGACGGTGAGAAGTCTTATGAATACCATGATCAGTACAAGACCAGACATTGCACAAGTAGTGAGAGTGGTTATGAGATTAATGACAAATTATGGTGGAGAGCATGAGTATTATCAAGAAAATTCTTATCAAAGGAATCTTGGATGTTTATTATGTTTCAGAGGATCAAAAATAGTTGTCAAATGCCATGCTTGTTCAGGTTTTGCAGGTGATCTTAATGAGTTTACCTTTGTTTGAGAGACAATAATTGATTATCTAAGTTATAGGATGTTATAGCTCTGTCTATCATAAAAACTGAGTAAATGGCAGTCACTCAGATATGTAAGGAAGTTATTTGAATTAAGAGAATAATGATAGAACTCAGGCACAAGCAACAACAAATTATTATATATTGTGACAGTCAAAGTATCTTGCACATTGCAAGGAATCCTAGTAGATGTTATGCAATGACAAGTTTACATAGAGATTATCCTACTGAAAGTTTTTTGCAATAATAACATAGAAGACAATAATAATATATTGTGAAGATTTGATTAATTTAATCAAAATATTTAAGTGAAAGATTGTGAGAATATGAGAAGAGAAGTCCTACATGTTGGTGCTTATTTTTTCTTTTTATTAATAAATTGCATAATAGTTGAATTCTCTTGTTTATAAGAGAATATTATTATTATTCTCTTCTTATATTTAAAGAAGGTATTATAACTTTTTTCTAATATTAATATTCTATTATTATTTATTGTTAGTTTTATTTCTCTTTTTTTATCTTTTATTTTATAGGTTACTAATCAAAGGACATTTGGAGAAACAAAGATTTGCATAGATTTTTGTCAGAAATTTACGTTTGTTTATGTATTTAGACTAAAGAACAATATATGTTTTAAAATGATGACATGAGTGTACTTGTAATGCTTCTCTTTTAGTAAGACAATCACCTATGAAGCTTCAAGTATGGGAAGCGAGGAAGAATCTATCTTCTATGTTTGTCATTATCATTAAAATTCCATTATTAATTTTTCATACCTGCAGGGCAATTGACTCCATATCAAATTCCCAGTCACTTTCTGACAATACCAACTTGGTTTAGGGTTTAGTGAAAATGGTAGTTTTGAATTGGGTTTCTTCTGTCCTGGAAGTTAGGTTATTATTACTTTGGAATATTGTACAAGCGTATCCCAGTTAAAACCGTGGTTTGGGTAGCCAATAGAATCAACCCAATCAAAGAAAAGCCCTTCATACTGCACATAAATAGAGAAGGGAATCTTGTGATTGAAACAAAAAATGGGACTGTTGTTTGGACGGCATTAGCAGACTCAAAAAACAAGGCTTATGATCCAATTCTTCACCTCCTAAATTCAGTAAACATGGTATTAAGAGATGAGAGAGATGACCCAGAGAACTTTTTGTGGCACTGGAAGGGCACCCTCAACTTGTTATGTGGAAGGGTTCAACAGTATTCCATAGGGGTGGTCCCTGGAATGGTTTTTGTTTCAGTGGTGCCCCAGAATTGGAGAGAAATCTACTTTTTGAGTTCAAATTTGTTAGAAACAAAGAAGAGGTGTACTACACATACAACCTCGGAAATGAGTCTGTAATTTCAAGAATGGTTTTGAAACAAACCATGTTGACTCGGCAGCGCTATTATGGATTGAAGGAGCTCAAACGTGGAGGATATCTATGAATCTGTGCCAAGAGACAACTGTGATTACGATAATCTTTGTGGCCCTTGTGGAAATTGCATCATAGGGGACTCACAAGTTTCCAGTTCTTGTCACAGTTTAAGCCAAAATCATCTGAAAATTGGGACATGATGGACTGGACTCAAGGATGTGTACGCAATTAAGAATTGTGCTGCAAGGATAAGAGTGAAGATGGATTTTTGAAACTTAGTGGGCTTACATATCCTGATACTATACATGCTTGGGTCAATGAGAGTATGGATCTCAACAAATGCAGGGAAACTTGCTTAAATAACTGTTCCTATACAGCTTATGCAAATTTAAATATAAAAGAGGGAGGTAGTGGATTTATGCTATGGTATGGTGACCTGAAGGACATGAGACAGTTTTCTGGAGAAGCTTGGGATCTGTATATTCGAAGATGGCTGCAATAGTGATTAGTATGGCCGCAGTTGTCCTGTTGATTGTTATTGTTAGTATTTTAAGAAGGATAGGAAAGATAGTTTGATGTTTAGTAGTGAGATTTGTGTAGAAAATAGTTTTTAGAAAGAGGTGGACAAATAGGAGAAGGTTTGTATGAGGGAAGATAGTAATTGATGTTAGAAGTGTTACAAGATATGTAGGAGCTTGTATTAGATTTTCCACACATACAAATACTCCCTTCATGCCTATTTATAGGCTTTACTTACAAGATTCTAGAATTTTCTACTATTTTCATTAGTACACATATGTTTTCTACATAATTCTAGAAGTTTTACATAATTCTATATTTTCTTAATTCTAGAATCATCTATCTTCTACTTTCAAACATTTCTAGAATCTTCTAAGGATTCTAGATATTACTCATATATAATTCCTAATTCTAGTAACATCTAAGATTTTATATTCTAGATCTTTCTAGAATTTGTATCATCTTTCAACACTCCTCCTTGATGCAAATTCTTGTAACTCCAAGCATGAAACGTAATTGTTCAAACTTGGCTCTTGGTAGTGCCTTGGTAAATATGTCTGCAATTTGATCTTCCGTAGTGCAGGTACTCAAGTTGAATTTGTTTAGTCGCTTGACCTCTCCGATGAAGTGATATTTAATAGCTATATGTTTTGTTCTTTGATGATGAACAGGATTTTTCGTCATTGCTATTGCTGATTTGTTGTCGCAATAAATAGTAGTTGGTCCATCTTGTGGTTCGCCCATTTCTTCAAGTATTCTTCGTAGCCATATTGCTTGACTTGTAGTTTCAGCAGCGGCTATGTATTCTGCTTCAGCTGTTGATTGTGCCACGGTTGCTTGCTTCTTTGATGCCCATGAGAAAAAACCCGATCCAAGTGAGAAGGCGTATCCCGACGTACTCTTCATGTCGTCTATTGATCCTGCCCAATCACCTGTCGGTGTAGCAAATCATCCTTGAGTTGGTCATGGTCTTGTACCATATACCAAACTCTCTTGTGCCTTGCGAGATACCTTAAAATCCTTTTTCCTGCTCCATAGTGAATCGACTTGGCTTTTGCATGAATCTTGACAGAAGACTTGTAGCATACATAATGTCCGGTCGTGTAGTCGTGAGATATAGAAGGCTTCCGATCAAACTCCTGTATCGTGATACGTCTACTTCTGGTGCTCCATCATCTTTCTTTAGCTTTTCGTTTACCACCAAAGGAGTAGTGACAAGTTTACATCCGTACATCTTGAATCTCTTTAGTAGAGCTTCAGTATATTTCTTCGAGAGATAAATATTCCTTCTTTTTGTTGTATCACCTCTATCCCGAGGAAGTAGTTCATCAAGCCAAGATCGAGTCATTTCGAATGTTTTCATCATATCTTCTTTGAATTCTTTCATCATTTCCTTATTGTTTCCTGTATAGATGAGATCATCAACATATAAGGAGACAATGAGATTATACTGACCTTGTGTCTTGATATAAAGTGTTGGCTCACTCTTGCTCCTCCTAAATCCTTGATCGATAAAATATTTATCAATCTTACTATACCATGCTCGAGGAGCTTGCTTCAGGCTATATAGAGCTTTTCTTAGTCTTAGTACTTTTCCTTCGTGGCCTTTGTTGATGAATCCTTGTGGTTGCTCAACATAGATCTCTTCTTCTAGTGTTCCATTGAGAAAGGCAGATTTGACATCCAGTTGATGGATGTTCCAACCTTTTTGTGCAGCAAGGGCTATTAAAGCTCTAATTGTATCTAGGCGAGCAACTGGAGCAAAAGTCTCATTGTAGTCGATCCCAGGTTGTTGTGAGTATCCTTTTGCGACCAATCTTGCCTTATATTTTTGTATGGTTCCATCAGGGTTGAGCTTAGTTTTATATATCCATTTTACTCCAATGATATATTTTCCGTGAGGACAGTCCACAAGCTCCCAAGTATTATTCTTCTCAATCATTTTGATTTCTTCTTCCATGGCCTTGACCCATACTTCTTGCTTTGAAGCTTCTTCATAGCAGGAAGGCTCAATGATGGCCATGTTACAAGTTTCATATATATCTACCAAAGATCTTACACGTCTTGGTGTAGACTCTGGTGAAGTATATTCTTCTTCTTCTTGTGGAGGTGGAGAAAGCGTACCTGGATCTCCTGTTTCTTCTTCAAGTTGTTGTACTGGAACCAGGATGTTGCTTCTAACAACTTTTTCTTCTTCCCAATTCCAAAAAGCATTTTCGTCAACCTCAACATCTCGACTGATGATGAGTTTCTTTGTTTGTAGGTTGTAGACTCGATAGCCTTTTGACTGTTGGCTGTATCCCAAGAATATTCCTCTTATAGTTTTGTCTTCAAGCTTATGCCTCCTCTGATCAGGAACATGTATGTAGCAAATTGATCCAAATATTCGTAGGTGTTTAGCTGATGGCTTTCTTCCACTCCAAGATTCAATAGGAGTCTTGTTTTGGACTACCTTAGTTGGACATCTATTGAGTATATATACAGCAGTGTAAACTGCTTCTGCCCAAAATGTATTTGGCAAGCCTTTCTCCTTCAACATTGATCTTGCCATCTCCATGACAGTGCGATTTTTTCTCTCTGAGACACCATTCTGTTGTGGAGAATATGCGACTGTAAGTTGTCGCTCAATACCTTCATCCTCACAGAATTTATCAAATTCGTGGGAGGTGTACTCTTTGCCTTGATCGCTCCTGAGAACCTTTATCTGTTTTCCGCTTTGCTTTTCGACAAGGGCCTTAAATTTCTTGGATATTCTAAAGACTTCTGATTTTGCTTTGATGAAGTAGATCCAAGTCATTCTAGAAAAATCATCAATGAAGAGAATGAAGTACCTGTTGTTATTAAGCGATGGAGTCCTCATTGGTCCGCAAATATCTGTGTGGATTAACTCCAACAAGTCTTTTGCTCTCCAAGTATTTCCCGTAGAAAATGGTAATCTGTGTTGCTTTCCCAGAAGACATCCTTCACAAGCTTCACTACTCTCCTTAAGGCTTGGTAGATCTCTCATCATGCCTTTTTGATGTAGTAGCTTTAAGGCATGAGTATTGAAGTGACCAAATCTACGATGCCATAGCCACGAGTCATCAACTTCTACTTTCATGGCAATGTTAGTTCCTCGATTGAAGCTTATAGGAAAACTTCTATTTCTCTTTTCCATTTTTACTTGGCCAATCTCTAGATTTTTCTTATCGTAGATAGTGCATGTATCTCTTTCAAAGTGGAGAGTATATCCTTTCTCCATCATTTGACCAATACTTAAGAGATTTTCTTTAAGATTGGGAACTAGTAAAACATCATTGATAAGTCTCATACCTTTCTTGGTCTCCACCATAACACTGCCTTTTCCTTTTGACTCTACCACGGTGCCATTTCCCAGTCGTACTTGAACTTTGATGGAGTTATCAATTTCTTTGAAGATGCTTGGATCATTCGCCATATGGTTACTACATCCGCTGTCCAAGTACCATCTTCCTTTTGATTCATTGTCAAAACATCCCGTAGCATAGAAGAGATGTTGTTCTCTGTCCCGTTTTTCAGCAAAATTTGCTTGTTGATGATTTTTGTTGCGACACATTTTCTCTAGATGTCCAAATTTCTTACAGTATTGACATTGAGGTTTTCCTCGATGCCAACAATCTTTTTCCAAGTGACTTGTCTTTTTGCAAGTTCCACATGGAGGATATTTTCCTTGAATAGTCTTGGAAAAATTTCTAGAATTTTCCTTATTCTTAGAAAGTTCTCTATTAATTTTATTTCCTCCATTTTGAGACCGTAATTTTAGTTTTGATTGAAAGGCATTTTCGACGTGAGTCTTCTTCACGCCTTTTCAATCTTTGTTCATATGCTTCAAGAGAGCCTATTAGTTGTGTCACCGATAATGTAGATAAATCTTTTGTTTGTTCAATTGCAGTTGCAATTGCATCATATTTTTGGGGAATAGAAATTAGAATTTTCTCAACAATTTTCTTGTCAAGAATATTTTCCCCATAGGCTCTCATCCGACTAACTATTTCTTTTATTTTAGAATAGTAGTCTTTTATGGTCTCGAATTCATTCATTCTTATTAACTCAAATTCTCTTCTTAGAGAATGGAGTTTAATATTGCGTACCTCATCACTTCCTTGAAACTCCTCCTGAATTGTATTCCAAGCTTCCTTTGCACTTGTGGCACCCATTATTCTTGGAAAAATAGTGTCATCAACTGCTTGCTGAAGAGTGAATAATGCCCTTGAATCCTTCTGTTTGTTTTCCTTCAGCTCCTTCCTCTGGGCAGCTGTAAGAGTTGAGATGTCTTCTGGAATAGTGAACCCATCTTCAATGACATCCCAAAGATCTTGAGAACAAAAAAATGTCCTCATTTTGACTCTCCAAAAATCATAATTTTCTCCCTTAAAAATAGGAACTGGAATGGATGATGTTTGGTTGGTAGTGGCCATAGGTTGAAAATTTTCTTTTGGAAGTAATGTGTAGTGGAATATGGTTTTTTAAGGTAGTAAAAAATTTTCTCTACGCCCAGTAGGTGACCGAACGTAGCTCTGGTACCACTGTTAGTATTTTAAGAAGGATAGGAAAGATAGTTTGATGTTTAGTAGTGAGATTTGTGTAGAAAATAGTTTTTAGAAAGAGGTGGACAAATAGGAGAAGGTTTGTATGAGGGAAGATAGTAATTGATGTTAGAAGTGTTACAAGATATGTAGGAGCTTGTATTAGATTTTTCACACATACAAATACTCCCTTCATGCCTATTTATAGGCTTTACTTACAAGATTCTAGAATTTTCTACTATTTTCATTAGTACACATATGTTTTCTACATAATTCTAGAAGTTTTACATAATTCTATATTTTCTTAATTCTAGAATCATCTATCTTCTACTTTCAAACATTTCTAGAATCTTCTAAGGATTCTAGATATTACTCATATATAATTCCTAATTCTAGTAACATCTAAGATTTTATATTCTAGATCTTTCTAGAATTTGTATCATCTTTCAACAGTTATTATGTCCTTCGTTGGCAAGAGAATGAGAAGGTTTAAAGGTAGTTTTTGCTCTAATTTAACCAATTTCCACTGAAGTAAAACAAGAAAGATGTAAATATTCTTTACTCTTAAAAAGGAATTGAAATCGGTACCTTCATTAAATGCTTTTAACAAATCTAAAATAATTCATTTGCTTTATTCACAACACCACCTGCATCATCTGATTCACAATTCTGTTCTGTTATAGGTTCACTGTTTACATATATGTTAGGCTTTCTTTTATAAAATTACGATCAGGTGTACGTTGGATGTGGTAATAGCACATTATTCTCTTTTTCTTGAAAACTCATGCTTTACAGTTGAGGAAACATAAAATTACATGATGGAAAACAGTGAAAATCTGGACCTTCCTTGTTTCGACCTTTCTTCAATCGTCAAGGCAACCAATGGCTTCTCAACCAACAAGAAGCTTGGAGAAGGTGGTTTTGGGACAGTATACAGGGTAATTATGCAGAATAATTGCTTTAGGAGTATAAAGCGTAGCATCTTAGATACCATTACATATTGTTTATACATATATTGGAAATGATAGGGTATCCTAGAAGATGGACAAGAAATTGCTGTCAAGAGACTCTCACAAGGTTCTGGACAAGGGTTGAATGAATTCAGTAACGAAGTGAGAGTGATTGCCAAACTTCATCATCGAAACCTGGTTAAGCTTCTAAGTTGGTGTACTCAAGGAAAGGAGAAAATGCTTATCTATGAATACATGCCTAACAATAGCCTAGACTCCATCATCTTTGGTTTTCTACAATCTTCCAAATTATTATATTCACCAATTTTACATATTTTCCTCCTCCATAATTGTACAAATTGAACACCTTGATAGTTTACGTTAATTTTTATGAATAAATAACATATGCACTCGTGGCGTCAAAGTTGTTTCTTTTTGTTATTTAATCATAAAATGTTATACATGACAAGTTATTTACTTTTACAACAAAGATGATTTCAATTGGTCGACCATGGTAGAACTATTATGTTGCACTGCATGTTTATTATGTTTCCATTGGTAATTAATAATGGTGTTAGTCTTCTCAGATCTTGGGAAAAGTAGAGTCGTAGATTGGTCTATACGCTTCAAAATTATCTGTGGAATAGCCCCAGGAATTTTGTATCTTCATGAAGATTCTAGGTTATGAATAATATACACAGAGATCTTAAAGCTAGTAATGTTTTACTTGACAATGAGTTCAACCCAAAAATATCTGATTTTGGCATGGCTGAACTTTCGGGGGAGATCAGATTGAAGGAAGCACAAACAAAGTTGTTGGAACCTAGTAAGTAACAGTTTGTGATTTACATGTACCTCCACCCACACAACAATGATCTCAACCATGTTTAATAATCTTCTTCAGCGGTTACATGGCCCCTGAATATGCCATTAATGGATTATTCTCAGTGAAAACTGACATATTCAGCTTTGTTGTTGATTGAGATAGTATGTGGAAAGAAGAATAGAGGATTTTCCCATTCAGATGAGTGTCCTAACCTTATTGGACATGTAAGTTGCCAGGAGTTGATACTTTTCTGTTAGGACCCGTGAGAAACAAACTTTGTTATGTCATGACATGTCTTTGTATGTTTTAAGCGTGGAGACTTTGGAAAGAAAGAAGGCCTTTAGATCTAATTGATTCGTGCTTGCAGAATTCATGTATATCAGAAGCATTGCGCTGCATTCAAATAAGTCTTCTATGTGTTGAGCAGCATCCAAGGATAGGCCCACAATGTAAAATGTGGTGTGATGTTGATTAGTGAGAGTGCCTTGGCCCAACCTAAGGAACCTGCTTTCCTTATGGACTATATTTTTGTTCACGGAGATTCTTCTTGCAAGCATCAATCTTCAACCAATGGACTAAGTATTACCGTGTTAGATTCTCGGTAGTGGATCATTTAGCTAAATCCTATACATGGATCTTTTATGATAGGTGAAGCTTCAGTCTAGGTGTATGTATACATATTTCTTCACATATGTTGGTTAAGGTTAGTGCTTTTGCTTTACAATTGCATTGAGCCTATTCAATTTCATCAAAGAAGTGCTACACTTCGTTAGCAAAGATGGAAGGAGAGTAGGCTTCGGTCACTGAACAAATGGTACGGCAACAATATGTAGACCCACAAGATAAATCCTTTTCATGTTTTCCATTGTCATTTGATTTAAATTAGTGTGAACATTAGCTCATTGTTTACATCTGAGTCATGGTATTTTGTACCAAAACAGAGAGTTACATCATCTGTTGTATACTCGCCATAGTAGAACCTAAATTATCCAAACCCAAAAAAAGAAAACGTTTTCAAGTGGTGGTTTTCTCAAGGTGAACTTCGTTCAGAAGCTTAACCATCGCATCCAACTCCCTCTGCGAGCTTCCATCATTCCCAACCGCACGCAGCGCCGCGTCCCTCAACTCTTCAGCCCTCACCCTCTCCTTTGTTCTACCCAAACCCTTTTCAATCCTCTTCCCCAGCTCCCAAGCTTCTGGAACCTTCTCACCTTCAGCACCACGAATCCCCACACCCAACTCATCCACCAAGAGCCTCGCGTTCGAGTACTGATCCGCACCCATCGGCCACGTCACCATCACCACCCCTGAAACCAACCCTTCCAATACCGAGTTCCATCCACAGTGAGTCAAAAACGCCCCCACCGCGCGGTGACTCAGTATGACCAACTGCGGGGCCCACCCCTGTATCAAAAAGCCCCTCTCTCGCACCCCCACCCCATCCATAAACCCAGACGGCACCTTACCCTGCTCCTGCGCCAAGTGTCGCGCGTCTGGAACCCCAATTGACAAAACAAAGTTCACCCCACTGAGTTCCAAAGCACGCGTTAACACCTTCATTTGCGAACCCGACAGAAACGTACGGCTCCCAAAACATACGTAAACAACCGAACATTCCTCGCGCGAGTCCAGCCAGTCAACGATGTCATGTCGCGAAACGGAGCTGGTCCCGCCATGCTCTTCTGGTTCGGTCGAACTGTTATGAATCCGTAGAACCGGGCCCACCGCCCAGACTCTTTTGTGTCCGAGTTCTTTCTTCACGTGGTCGATGTGAACTTGTTCCAACTCGGTGCAAGTGTTGATAACGACGCCCCAGGAGTCGATGTTGAAGAGCGTGTTTTCTCGAAAAAACTCCCATTCAGGTCTTCCTCTTCGGGTGCCCGTGAACAGGTGCGAGATCTGCCACCAGGGGTAAACCGGGGAGTTAGGAAGGTTGGGGAACGAAGCGACGGAGTTTGAGTCTCGTGGGTTGTCGTTTTGCGGGACGTCGCGCCAGAGGGATTGGTGGAGGGAGAGCGCGGCGGCACCAGAGGGGGAGAAAACGAGGCGCGGAACGTGGAGATCACGTGCGAGGAGATGAGTCCAGCCGAGGAAGAAATCGGAGATGACGGCGGAAGGGGGAGTGGATTGGGCCTGGGCCCAGTCCACGATTAACGGGTGGTGATGGTGGCGCATGAAGGTGATAATGGTGACGAGCATGTTGAGGTTGGGGTTTGAAAACTGAGGTGCGGGAAGGAGAAGGGTTTGCAGCAGAGGAGAAAAGTTGGTCGGGACCAAGGGTAGGTTTCTTGGGGTGACGAGAACGGTGACTTGGACGCCACGAGAGACAAGAGCCTTGGCGAAGTCCAAGAGGGGGATCGCGTGACCGGAAGAAGGGAAGGGGTATGCCAACACGTGAGCTCTTGCAGTAGACATGCTTTGAAGGAAGAATGGTGATGGTGTGTGAGAATGGTTGTGGTTTAAAGGGTTCATCTTCTTCGGGTTGTTAAGTGAAGTTGACGGAGAAAGAAGAAAGCCGGGGAAGCAGTGGAGTGTGCAGGCACTATTGTGTTTTTCTTTTCCTTCTGTTACAATCGTTGACTTTTTTGACATCACTGCTTACGATATCACAATATAATAACAAGAGATAATAAAAGTTGCAAAATCATTTTTTTTTAAGAAAAAATGTTATATTTTAAGTTAAAATCAGTAAGACCATTTCCAGTTTATAAGAGTTTAAATTTAAGAATAAAATATATTGTTTTGACGTGTTACAATTAACATATTAGATTAGTTTGAAACTTTAATAAAGTCTAAATAGCATGACTTGACGATGCCATCAAATTAACCAAACTAGCAATTGATGTATGCTTTGGCTACGTATGTTTATGATTTGTCCATTAATTTATTACTTTATTTGCTTTTAGGACTCTATGAGATCACATTTAAAACTTCCTCTAATTTAAGCAAACTGAAACTTTGACATTTTACCTGTCCAAGACATATTTTTCCTTTTAAACTCAACTAAAAGATCTTCAAATTTTCACATTTGAATTTGTGAACAAGATTAAGAATTATGTTTTCAGATTGATACCTATTTTAATAACACTTTCAAACTAAGTAACCCAGCTTTATTAAATTTTCTATAATAATTTAAGAGTTTTTCCAATACTATTTAAATATTCGATGAATTTTTTCTTAAGAGTATTTAATCTAGAAAGTACAAAATAAAGTCAACCTTTATTTTCACTCATTACTAATCAAAAGACTTGAGATCAATGTTGTTAAAATATATAATAAAAAGGTTTTGGTTTGAATATATTTTCAAAAACGAAATAATATATTATTAATAAATAATAAATAAATATAAAAAAATAAAAAATAAATAAATAAAATTATAAATATGCTAAATAATTATTAAATTTTGAACCAAAATCATAAATTATATAATAATTATGTTTAATATTAACTTAATAAAAATAAAATTATACAAACACAAATAATCTTAAATCCTAAATTTTCAAAACATATAATTTATCAATAATAAAAATTTATATTAAAATTTAATAAAGTGTATTTGTTATTATTTAATTTATAAATTAGATTAATATACTAAATAAAAAATAATATTTAATTTATAAATATTTAATATTATTTAATTAGATGAATAATTAATTTATTATGAAAAAAAATTAAATTAATTATATTATATAATCTTATAATTTTAAATAATTAATTGATATTTTTAATTTTAATTTAATTTTAAAGAAATTACTTTAATATATTTTTATTAAATTTTAATATAATAATTTTAATTAGAAGAATAATAAGTTTGAGAGGAAGAGAAAAAGAATGTGAGATAGAAAAGAGAAAAAAAAAGTTAGTAAATAATAAGAGAGAAATAAATTAAAAATAAATAAATAAATTTTATATAAATAATAAATAATTATAATTAATAAAAAATTGATTCATATTAATATTTAAATAATTATTTTAAAATATATTATTTATCACTAGATGCTTCCCTGTACAGCCCTTGATTTGATCATCGTCAGTACAGAACGATGATGGTATAATGGATACAACTCATTAAGAAGCAGGCTTTTCCTTTTTTTTTTTTTTTACATTAATATAGATATTTTTTTAATAATTATTTTATTAACCCATTTCAAAATAATATTATGTAAAAAATGTATTAATAATTAGACCAAACACGTGAAATTAATATTTTAGCTATATAGTTTTTTATTTTTTATAACAAATCAGTCATTTGTAATTAATAAAGTTTATAATATTTATATTATTTTATTAAGTTTTCAAACGATGTTAAAATATATAAAATTACACTGTATCTTTTAAAATATTTTTATAATTTAATAATACTTATATATTATTATAAAAATAAATTATAAATATATATATATATATATATTAAAAAAATATCACAATTTTATTTTTAATTATATAAATTAATTTTTATTTTTATTTTTATTTATTTTATTAAGTAATTATTTTATATTAAACCATATCTATATTTATATTTATATTTATTTTGAATTAAATTTATATTAAAAATATTTTAGTCTTTTATTAATTTATTTTATTATTTTTTAATCACTTAAATCAATTTATCAACTACTATCTTTTTATTTTTATTTTTACTTTTTACTAGTCCAAACAATTATACTCTTTATTATATTTCTCTCTCTTTTTTCAATCCTTTAAATCAATTCTTCAATCCAAACATAAGTCAGAGTTTAAATAATTTATATATTCGAAAACTAGAAGTTTTATAAAATGCTCCATTATTTAATGGTTTGGCCTAGACACTTGATCACGATTTCCATAATAAATTAATTAAATGTCTTTCTTAATAAGATTATTAAAGAATAAAACTTTATATTGATATGTTTGTAATTGGGAAGGAGGGGCAGATTGACAAGGGTCACAATCTAAAAAAAAATCAATTAAATTTTTATTAAAAAAATATATTATGACCTTCTTATTTACTTAGATATCTTTTCGAAAACTAATTTTCTGATTCTATATTTGTTATGATAATGTATAAACTATCAATCAACTTCTAATAATAGATTTGTTAACTTCTTTCCTTTTTTTTCCATTTGTATTCAATTTTAACCTTGAAATTATTGGATTGGCTATTGAATTATTTTTCATCATACCATACCTTATCAAGACCTACAATAAATATTTTATTTGCCATAGAAACATACCATTAGACTTTTGCAACACCTCAATGATAAGAAAAAATATCTTTCCCAACTCGGACACATCAAACCCTCTCGGACATATAATTTTTAAATTCAAATATCATAATTTCATCATTATTAATAAAGTTAAATTATCAAATTTTGGTGAATAATATTTGCTTTTTGTCACGCCTTTGATATGATTTACCGATGAAACGGGTTTCAATGCAACTAATCAAAAACATCATCAACCAACTCAACAAGGAAGAAGATTATCTTGACATTCATCCTTATTATGTTGTGAAAATTGAATCTTATACCTTTCAATTTTTCCTTATCCATTATATTTGATTTTGTAAACTCGTTCTACTTTAATTATTTGATCCAAATAGGTAAGCTTAATAAGTATCTATATATAACCAGTAGCAAGAAACGAAGTTGCATTCTTAACTTGGAAGAGTAATGATTATAGTTGTCATTGTCTTATCGTTTTTATTTAACGTTTTTAATTCCAAATTGAACATGAAATTTTTATTTTATTCAGCTCCTTTATGAAAAAACTAAGAGATGTTAAAAAAAAAAAAATTAACCCATAACATATGTCTGATTATTTTTATGAATTTCATTTCATTGTTTATGGTCAATATCGAATTTGCACTCTTCACAACTTCCATAAAGCACAATGAATTAGTTGACACCATTAAAACCATATAAGCTTCTTCCTTATACAAACCTTATGTTAGGATATGATTCACGACAAGACAATTATTTATGTTTTTTTTCCTCCTAAAACATCTTCTATAAATATTTTGTATAGATCTACATAAATAATAGCCTATATTCACCAATTCGAGAATGTAGTTTCTGTTAAGTTGTATTTGTGTACGTGTTACCTGTTTTTCTTCCTTTGCTTTACCAGGTGGTTAGATAGGACTTGGTGCATTTTCAACTAATTTGCTCATTCTCAATGGAAATATTTGGAAGAAGTGACATGTGCAGATGAAGACAATTCTTAGGTATTAAGAAGTTGCAGAGATTGTTGAAAATGAATTTTCAGTGCTGGTTGAAACCTCCACAGGGCATAAAAGGCTCTTTACAAAGAAAACAAGAAGAAAAATTGTAAAGAAACTTTTATTATTCATCAGTGGGTTGATGAAGCCCACTTTGAAAAGATTGTAGGAGTTGCAATTTCACGGGAGACATGGCAAATTTTGGCTTGGTACAGTGAAGGGATAGAGAAATTGAAGAAAGTAAGGTGACAAAGGATAAGACATTAATATAAGTTGTTGCATATGGAAAGCATTAAAAGGATAACCAATTTTTTTTAATAGAATCGTGACTCATACAAATGCGATGAAGAACTACGGGACAAAATCTCAAGTCAAGTAATCATTGTCTTTCAAAACAAGTATTTTCAACCTTGAACTCTATATCCTAAACCCTAAACAACAATGACTATAACATATGTGCTCAATAGATGTCCTACCAAAAAGACATGATTCTAGAGTTAACAAGCATGGATAGGGATTAAACCCTCTGTCAAATACCTCAGAATTTTCGGTTCATTGTGTTATAAACACATTTCATATTAAAGGAGAAAGAAACTTAATGATAAGAGTGAACCTATGATTTTTGTAAGCTACAATTCTACAGGCTTCTACAAATTATATAGTCCTAAAACAGAACAAGTATTTTTCAACAGGTATATGTACTTTGATGAATCTAGTTTATGGAATGAACTCCAATATACTATTGACCCATGCTTCTAGTTTCATTAGAGAGAACAGTTTACAAGAAAAAAAATGAAGGTGGTTGGACCTCAAATAATAACAAATGATAAATATGTGAAACATAGAATTATTCCTTCATGATTTGTAGATTATCAAAATTATTCTGATAATGTGATTTCAATTGAGGGAGATTTAGTTAAGCATTTGGCATCATGGCTAATGTCACGACCCTTCTTTTTTTTAATAAAGAATTTGACATGTGATAAATATGTGAAAAATAGTTTTTTTTTTATGAGAGACCAATTTTTTTTTCTGAATAATACAGTTTCATTCATTCATTAATATATAGCATTTGGCACCATGGCTAATGTCATGACCCTTCATTTTTTTAATAAAGAATTTGACATGCAATAAATATGTGGAAAATAGTTTTTTTTTCATGAGAGACCAATTTTTTTTTCGAATAATATAATTTCATTTATATATATATATATATATATATATATATATATATATATATATATATATATATTATCAAGTACAATACATCAATCCTTCAAATACAAATAGGTACAAAGTCAAGTCTTTCAAAATACAATAAGGCTCATGACCATTCTCTTATCTATAGGGAATGAGCTACGTGCCCAAACTTTCCCCACCCTCGGCTCCTCCT